TCCTCAAGAGACCTTTTGAAATGTTAGTGTGGCAGATAACTGACTTTTTTATAGACAGATGTTGTTGTTATTAAATGTGCTTGTGGTAATGGTGTTTGTTTAGCGTTTCTCTCGAAGGAATTCAGAATGCTTTGCAGTCATTTTCTCTGCTATTTCTTAAGATCTTTTCTTGATCATATTTTAATCTTGACTATAAATTCTTCATTCAGTTTTTCTCACTGGATTTTCTCTGTAATTTCTCCTGCTAACCTCGTTTCCTACTGCTCTCTGCACTTCCAGGATTATAGACTTACACCCTTTCGGGTGGGCATCCTAGGCAAGCATTGGAGATTTTTCCTGTCAGAATCTCAGATTTCTCTTTCTCTATTTACTATTTTTCATTGTCCTTTCAAGCTTTTCCATTTATAATATTGTCACCATACTTCCTCTCATGCGAAAGATGGATTACCTGAAATATACCTTGTTCTTCTACATAAATATTTTCCTCATTTATTTAATTTTACTTTTGTTTTTTAACTCATTTCTAACCTGCCTTGCTCCATGAAGAATATGAGGTAACTATTTAATCATTTTTTTAAGCATGAACCCTACTTATTGGTATTGGGAATCTGATATTCATAGTAGATTTTCTTTTCAAAAAAGTTCCTCCCTTCAATTCTCAAGGAATTTGTTAACTTTCCTTCTCACTGCAATCATCCTGAAGAAACAAGAAAAAAATAGAAAAAAAAAAGAATCATGACTTAAAGATGAGCAAATCTTTCATAGAAACAAATGAGATACTGTCCTCCCTCCAGGAAAGAACCACTATGGACCCATCTTCACTTGGACTGTGTTCTGTGGGATGTGGGATGTGTAGTAGACAGCCCTGTCCTGCAGAGACCATGGGATCGTGAAATTAGAAGGAAGTCACGTTAGAAATCCATTCACTTATTTTTACAGATGTGGAAACTGGGACTCAGAGAGTTTTAGAAATTTGTCCATGGCCTCAGACACACGAGAATATTTCTATCTCTGAGGCATGGTTAGAATATAAGTTTAGTTTAGAATATAAGTCATTTGGAAAGTTAAAAAAAAATCATTGAAGAACATAGCAAAGCATGAAGTAATGATTTGGTTACTTCCGGACAGTGGTGAGCTGGTCAGTGTTAACACCTGAGGCTGGGGTGGGCAGAGGAAGCCCCAGTTGGTAGTGTTTGTCAACGCGTGGTGCCCATACCAACCTGACACCCTTGAACCAGGAGCTGGGAAGAGGTGAGCACAGTGCAGTTGGCCCTCGAGAGCGACAGACACCATCGGGGTGGAGTGAGCGGGGCTGGAAGGAGGAGGACTGAGCCGGGCCCTTTCTCCCCACACCTCGGGCCTTGCAGCTGTGCAGCACTGGCTGTGGCTCTGCCATGCAGCACCTGTGCCTCTGCTCTGCTCCTTTGCTCTTGCTCTTGCCCTGGCGGATAAAGGACTCTTCACTTAATGAGCCATCACTTACATTTCCAGGCCCAGCTCAAAGATAAGGGTCTCTGCGAGGCTTTTCCCTGACTCTTTTGGGAATAATCACTTGTACTCTGGACGCCAGAGTACTTTATTAATGCCTTTTATTAGCGTAATTACCAAAGCCGAACTTGATATTATTGTGGAAAGATGGTGTCTTTCCCCTCTAGACTATCCTTAGAGGACAGGGACTGTGTCTTGGCCCTCTGTTGTCAGGGCGGCAGTGCAGGGTGGCGGGTGGGAGCCCACACTCTGGAGTCAGGCTACTCAGTTACACTCCTGACATGGCGCTCACTTATGGGGGATCTTGGAAAAATCATCAAACCTCTCTGTAGGTACCTGTAAACGGAGACATTAAATGGGAGTCTCTATACCACAGGCTTGCTGTGAAGATTAATGAGATTCCTAGACATGTTTGGTGCCGAGCACACCTAAGCCCTCAATAAATGTACCTGGTACTCTTATCTCTAGCACATAGCCCAGTGCCCGGCACAGAATTGGTGTGCAATTGTTGATTGAATGGAATTGATGTGAAGCAAAGATATGATCCAGCTAGTTTGGTAGGAAGTTGGGAAAGGGCATGCTAGATGGGAAAAACTATTGTTGGAGAAATACAGAATGGTATAATAATAAAAATCTGTAGATCATAGATTTATAGGATCAGAACCCAGTTTTCCAGCTGCAGTATAATGAACACAGCACAGGGTAGGATCATCGGCGACCTCCCTTCATGCCATGTGCTAGATGTTTTAAGTCTATAAATATACCATTTGTTATTGCAATAGCTTTAGTAGACTGCTGTTGATTGAAATATCTCCTTTTAAATACTGTGCAGTTGCTTTTTAAACATCTGAATGCTAGACTTTAAGTATAAATACTATTAAATTTCATTCCATTTGGTTTGGTCCATCATTCCAACTAATTCATATCTCTTCCAAACCTGATTCTGAAATGCAATGTATCTTCTATCCTGTCTCGTTTTGTGTTATCTGCAATTTTGTGAGCATGACTTCTATTTTGTTTTCTAAAACATTACATAGGCTACTTTGTTCTAAAAACAGAGTCCTCTGGCATGTCACTAGAGAGAGACTTCTTTCTATGTTGGCATTGATTCATTAAACAATCTTTATTTTTTTTCTTTTTAGATACAGATTTTAAACTCCTTTCAAATCTTTCAAAGTATGTAATAATCCATATTATATTTCATCTCATTTGCAAGAGTGTCATGAGAAACTCTGCCAAAATGCTATGTCTGCAGCATTTGTTGCATAGATAAAACAGAAAAGAAAAGGCAGCTAGCTTGTCTCAGTCTGTTCCTGATTAACCTATGTTGGTTCCTAATACTAATGACTTCCTTTTCCGAGTTGAACAAAGGATTCATGATTCAAAATAGTGACGTTAACTGCATCAGGGTAGGCTAGGCTTAACATACAGACCTTGAGCAGTTAGGGGAGAAGTCTGGGCACAATCCTGAGAGTAGTGAAAGATTGTTGAAATTTTTGAATTCGGGATTATATGGCAAAATTGTGTTTTAAGAAAGCCATCCACAGCAATGTCCATGATGGACTCTGGGGGTATCTAAAGAAGGGTTTGAAGTTTTTTGCAGGAATCTCAGAATGAGCTACCAGAGTATGTTTAGGCTAGGATAGTAGCAGAAGAGAATAAGTTGGGATTTAAAAGGAAAAAAAAAAAATCAGAAGAGACTATTGAGGGAAGATGATAGGAGTGAAAAATAAATAAATAAAAATCGGTATTTTAGGGCTTCCCAACCTTTTTCACACCACTTAACATGCATATAACAGTACCAGTTTGGCCACTGGGGGAAATCACCTGCTTGGGGATGGAGGTGAGCCAGCAGTGTGGGCCCAGGGCTGGGCCTCCACTCTCCGAAGCCCCACCTGCCCCCAGCCACTGGCAGAGGACATTCATATCTCCACGTGGCTGGGAAGCCGTTTGGAAATTTATACTTTACAAATAAGTAGTCTTAGCAATAAGAGAAAAGACTTGCTCCAAAATCTGTACAAAGAAAACTATACCTATAAATGAAAGCAAATGTTTGGTTCAGTGCATAATTCTAACAAAGAAGCAAAATAGCATTTATGCACTTGGAAGAAAACCAACCACCACCAGCCAAGGAAGGACTGCATAGGTGCCAAACAGAATAGCCCAGGACACCAAACCCCTGCCCATGCTATAATGATGAGAGATGCAGTAACACAATGGTAGTGTCTAAACAAGTCATTGGACAAAGAACCAAAGAAAGGAGGAGGGAGTTGGGGTTTTGCATTAATGTGGAAATCCATGCTTATTTGCTTGAAAATTTATGAAGTCCTGCCGACTTGGTGCGTCTTATTGATTTCCGCAGTTAGTAAATTAAGTAGTTTTGTAGTCCTGGTGCCTCACCTGTTTTACTAATCTGCATTACTGCATGGAAGCAATTGTAGGATGAGAAAATGCAGGAGCTTGCAATGCATAATGCCTTGGGATGATTGAAGATGCTCAGTTGCAGAAAATTAAAAAGTATTCTCTCTTCCTTCATTAAACTCAATGGCAGAGAGAGAACAAGAACCCACCAACAAAGTCATGTCGGATCTATTATAAAAATAGGAATCAATGGTGGCTCTTCTGAAAGCTAATGGAACACACATATTTATCCTGGTGGTTGGCAGCAAGGCACCACTCGCGTGGCTCAGGGGCACCCACCTTTCACATGGGAGTCTGTGTGGATGGTGCTTCCTGGTGTGGGGGTGCTGAGCCTGTGTGGCTATATGTGGCAGCTCACAGAGAGATCGATCTGACTCGTTCCCGGGCTTCCACCCAGCCTAGCAGGTGCACGTCTGCATTGACCCATGGCTTCATCTCCAGCACAACCACACTCCCTTCCCCGAGAGACCGTGTCAGCATCGTTTAATCCCAACCTGCTACTTATTCCTAATCAGATCCACCTAGCTCTCCCCACAGCTCCCCACCTCTGTTCCATCCCAAACACATCCTTCTGGCTCATTTGCTCGCATCATGCAGTTGACCTTTCCAGAGCCATTTGCTGCTCTCACCATCATGCTCCTTGTTACAGTTAAGTAGAAAAAACCGACAGCCTCACATAACACAGGAAAAACTTGGGCATCCTCACAGCACTTGGTACAGCTTCAGTTTCACACTTACCACACAGCACTGCGAACGTTAGTTGACATTTTTGACTCTGTCACTCCATGTGAGCTTGATGAAGGGCAGAATGATGCGTCTTTGGGGCCTGGGGCTCAGCAGGGTGCACCCACAGTGGGTCCTCATGTGATGCTTGGTAAGCGGGTGAGCAAACGAATGTGTCTGGTTTCTTAGATTTGGACACAGTAGTCTCATGTGGCCATATGGTTTAAAAAGTATTCCTCTCTCTGCTACGTGCAATGCCTACACTGTTGGCCTTCATTTCACAGCTTTCTGGCCAGATTCAGGTGACGCTGGGACAGGCTGTTATGTTGTGGCCGTGGTTTCTGAGTCGTGTGTTCATCCTTGTGCAGGTGGGAAAGTGGAAAGACAAATCCCTACAGATGAAATACTACGTGTGGCCCCGAATGTGTCCTGAGACCGAAGAGCAGGAGGATGACCACCTGAGCATCGTGACCCTGGAGGAGGCGCCGTTTGTCATTGTGGAAAGTGTGGACCCTCTGAGTGGAACCTGCATGAGGAACACAGTCCCCTGCCAGAAGCGCATAGTCACTGAGTATGGCATCCTCCCCATTGGCTCTGGGTGGCATGGGGAGAGTCAGATTTGATGCACCTGGCTGGCCTGGGACCTGAGGCATAGAATGAATGGGGCACCATGTCTGACTTCCAGTTGCTGTGGAGCTGTGGAATTACTGGCAGCCCTGTGCTCTGATGTCTGGCTCTGTCCAGAAGATGACCTGGGAAAATGACTGCTAACTTCCTACACTAAAGTTCCTTTGGCTTTGCCTGGCCTCAGTGACCAGGACCTCAAGTTTATGGAGATTTAAGTTAATTTTTGTTATTGAAATATGTTTTCTCAGGCCAGCATGTCCTGAAATTTTTAGATTTAGAACCATTTTTGGAAATAGATCAAACTCACCTATGCTGTTAAAGGTCAGAATAATGGTTCTCCTTGGTGGGACATGCCTAAAAGGAGGACCAAGGCCTCTTGGATGCTGGTAACTTTTCTGTGTCTGGATTTGGGGGCTGGTTAAAAGAGTGAGTTCAGTGGGTGCAGATTCATCCAACTGAACCCTCTCCTGTTGTATATTATACTTCAAAGGAGCATTACAAATTGTGAGAAAACATGGCTCAATGTGATGAGATACAGAGAATATTGCAGTTCTGTAGTCTGATTTATTTCTCCACTCAGGGCTGGTATAAATTGTTCTCAGCTGTGGAGGGAACATGCTTTGGGGTTAGAGTTTTAATGACAAAGGGTAATATTTTACCTCTTGTACAAACCTTTTTTTCTTGTTTTTTGTTTCTTTAAATGGCTAGGAATAAAACAGATGAGGAGCCAGGTTACATCAAAAAATGCTGCAAGGGATTCTGTATCGACATCCTGAAGAAAATTTCTAAATCTGTGAAGTTCACCTACGACCTTTACCTGGTTACCAATGGCAAGCATGGGAAGAAAATCAATGGCACCTGGAATGGCATGATCGGAGAGGTGAGTGTCAGGAACTAAGGGCCATCTCCACTTTTCATTACTTTTGTTTCATCTAAATATTTTTTAAATTCACGCTCATCATATGAATTTCAGAAAATATAAAATAGCGAATAGGACATTCGGTTCCCGCTATACAAAGGGAACCACTGCTGGGCCGTGACTGCTTTCCTCGTGGTGGCCCCTGGCCTTCCTGAATGTTCTGATGGGAGCCTTGCACCCTTCTCTCTAGGTGGTCATGAAGAGGGCCTACATGGCCGTGGGGTCACTCACCATCAACGAGGAGCGATCGGAGGTGGTTGACTTCTCTGTGCCCTTCATAGAGACGGGCATCAGTGTCATGGTGTCACGCAGCAATGGGACTGTCTCACCTTCTGCCTTCTTAGGTAAGTGTGGTGTGTGCTGGTGGAGAGGAGTGGCCAACAGGACGGGGAGAGGGAATGAGCAACAGCTGAAGGAGCACGTGGCCAGGCTCTTTCAGCCAGAAGGTGGTTTGCTAGGATCTTGACTCAGCCAAGGACTTCACTTGGGGTGGGGTGGGGAGGACCTCAAAGCTGATTACTCTCAAATGTGAAAACTTAACAACACCCAGAAACATAGGAAGGAAACGGTGCTGGGCTGGTGATCAGAGAGCCTCCTGCAGTCCCGTTTGTCAGCACTTGACCTTGAGTGGATTCGCTCCATGGTGGGGCTCAGTTTCCTCATCCACAGGAGAAGGCATTTCAACTGGCTGAGCTCCTAGGCTGCTTCCTGCTGTAATAATTTCTAATTCTGGATATCATTGAAATATCTATTTATTTTTAATTATCTTCAAGAATTGAGCTCAATGCTACCAAAAAAGCTTTCCTGTTTTCACATGAATTTTTGGAGGCTTTGCCAGATCACACTGATGTGATTCTTCCTCCCACCCCTCCACACCCCTCCCCTGCCGGTACCCTTCTCCCCTTCCCCACTCTCCAGCATCACTTAAATGTCAAAAGCCTCAGATGTGATATAAGACCAGGTGAGATGAGGCCAAGATTTCAATTAGATGAGGTCTTTTGTGAGCTCATATCCCATGATTTTTGCAGGGGCCACAAAGCAAGGGGTTGGAAAATAAAATGTCACCTTGAAAATAGAACACTGGGCTAGGAGACAAGAAGCCTGTTTTGGTTGACAAACAAGCTGTAAGCCCTTAGACAAGTCACGATCTCTCTTAAGGGACATCAGCAATTTTTAAATGGGGATATCAGAGTAGACCTTAACTAATATTTCTTTAAGCTTTATCCATAGGGATTAATTCAATTAATGCACTGCAAAGTAGAGTTACAGGTTCCATAGACTTTTTATATGAATTGCTCAAGTTTCTCAGCTAATCTTTTTACTCAAAATGAAGCAAATTCTAGCCTTGTCGATTTTAGGTGAAATGTTATTAGATAGCACACACTATATACATCCATCCTCATAGCTGCTGTATGTAATTTATTTGCTTTTTTTTATAAGGATAATTAGAAGATGATGAGATACAAGAAAACTACATTCTAATTCTAATCCTGTCAGTATAGCACTAACCTGACTTCTGAACTAGAAGAGCCAGTGGTACATGGATGGGTATAGCCTTGGAATGGCATAGAAATGCCAGGCAGCGTGTGTTTGGATGTTCAAAGGAGGAGCAACTAGTTGGTTATAGGGATAATAGAAGCCAACATTTATTGAACACCTACTATGTGAATTGCCAGGCATTACTATGTAGCTTTTGGTTCTATTCACTCATTGATACTATTATTATATACATTTTATAGCTCAGGAAACTGAGTCTTAGACATGTTAGACCATTTTCCATGGTAACGGGAAGCTCTAGGATTAAACTCCAGCTATGGTAGCCTTCAGAGACTGTGTTCAGTATACACGAGGCCATTTCAGGGTTCAACGCCTAACCCAGGAGCCATCGTGGTGGGCAGAGATAAAGATGCAATGTATAAGCCGGGCGCGGTGGCTCACGCCTGTAATCCTAGCACTCTGGGAGGCTGAGGCGGGTGGATTACTCGAGGTCAGCAGTTCGAAACCAGCCTGAGCAAGAGCAAGACCCCGTCTCTACTATAAATATAAAGAAATTAATTGGCCAACTAATATATATATATAAAAAAATCAGCCGGGCATGGTGGCGCGTGCCTGTAGTCCCAGCTACTGGGGAGGCTGAGACAGGAGGATTACTTGAGCCCAGGAGATTGAGGTTGCTGTGAGCTAGGCTGACGCCAAGGCACTCACTATAGCCTGGGCAACAAAGCGAGACTCTGTCTCAAAAAAAAAAAAAAAAAGATGCAATGTATACAATGGGAGAAGCACAGACTGTTTTGCCTCAGAGAATCTCAGATCATAATCTGACCCTGCCACTTTCTGAGCATGAATTTGGAAAGGAACTTGACCTCTCAGTCCCAGTCTACACCTCTGTAATACAGTTATGGTAATGCCATAAGGAAAGGGCCATTAGAAGGATTGTATATAGTATGTGATGAAAGTACTTTCGAAATTGTAAAGACCCATACAGATGTCTGTTGTATTTTGTATATAGAAAGTTTCCCTGGGTTTCTTGGGGGGAAAGAAACTGTAGAACTGATGCTTTTACCCAGTCCCCAGTCTTAGACAAAAGTGAAATCAGGGTAGAGCTGCAAGCAGTTGGAGTCAAGGGTTTGGAGAAAAACCTCTCCACACCTCTATGCAGAGGTTTTGAATTGTACCTTCTACCCTCGCCTCTCTGGCTGCCACTGAAAGATTTTGCGTTTCACAGTTGGTGTGTTCAGCTCTGAGGCTATTTTCAAGATCTTTTTAAAATTGATTAAGTGACCAGGCTTCTGTAATTCCTCTGGGAGTTCAATAATAAAGTAGGTTTCAGAGTAAGAAATATATTTTCTAATTTTCAGCCAATTTTTCCCCTTTTTTGACTTCATCTTTATTAATGATTTGGAAGAGAGCAAAAACAGCATGTTAATTCACTTAGTTTTGAGTTTACAATGTGCTGTGACAGCTAAAAAGGCCAGAACTATTTTGAGACACAGTTGGGGAAGCAATTGTATCATGGCTTCTGGAATATATTGTCCAATTTCTAGACACTTCCAAACCAGAGAGATATTTAGCTTGACTGGAAGGGATTCAGCAAAAATGATTAAAGATATTAAAGTAAGCATGTATAGAACATTCTTGCTATCTTGCCTGGTTTTGTCCCATCAACCCTATCACCTGGTAATAGGGGACTGTAGTTATTTTGTAGTAACTACAGATTGTAGTTATTTTGTGAATTATAACTTGTGCATGTTCCCTTGGTACCTGTTAAATTCCTGCTGTTGCAGATATTGATATTCAATATCGATATACTGATTTTTTAATATTGACTTATATTCTCATACCCTAATGATGTCTAGTAAAATCTACCACATCAAACTGGGTTGGAGAAAAATCAGTCTAGGTGGAGAAATTTAAGAGAAGTGATACAAAGAGGCAAGGGGGTTGGTTATTCATTGTACATAATTGTTACTGAACCAGTTCAACTCTGAAATAACGGGTAAGTCTGTTGAGAATGAACATGTCTGCAAGACTGACAAGTATTGGAAAAGGCTTTTCCAGGCCACCCTCTGTAGTATGGCCACATAGATGGGAACTCAAGTCAGTCCAATATGACTCGGTGGCTCCATATCTGAGACTAGTTCCAATTACACCATATACTGAGAGACCCAAATATTGGTCTAATAATGGCAGAAACTGTCTCTGCAACCTAAAAAGTTCATGGGCATGAGGCTCATGACTCCTCATATATCTGAAAGTAAAAACCACCTTGACTCACTCCTTAGGGCCAGGCGCTGCCTAGGCAGTCTCTTATTTCTCCCCACCCAGGCCCTGGCTCCCCGAAGGCACACAACAGACCTACAGTTTGTTCCCACCCTGCAAAATATGTGTCCGCATGAGCACATATGCATGTGAATTAATCAGAATTTGTCTGTCCTCCGTTTTAACCCTGCGCGTGCTGCGTTCTCTCCTTCCCCAGAGCCGTTCAGCGCTGACGTGTGGGTCATGATGTTCGTGATGCTGCTCATCGTGTCGGCCGTGGCTGTCTTCGTCTTCGAGTACTTCAGCCCTGTGGGTTACAACAGGTGCCTCGCCGATGGCAGAGGTAAGGCCGGCGGGAACTGCTGCTGCCTTCTGTATTTTTTTCTAGTTCTTAACTCCAAATCTCTGTACCCCTGATTCGTTATTTGTATCCTGTCTAATTTATCCATTTCTTAAAAGGAACCCTCGGCTTTCTAGGTCACCAGTGTGACATGAATTTTTATAAACATCCCAGTGAAGATGTGAGTTTAGATCCGTATGTGCCCTGTCCTGTTCACACCTAGCCCCAAGCCCAGCTCCACCTTTAAGGAAGGGAGAGGAAAGACGGGTAGTAGAAGTGGGTAGCATAAACATGTCACGGGAAACCATTTCGATAACCTTAGGCTGTGGGCAGTCTGTTGGAACAGATGTGACTGACAAGGCAGATTGTACACATATGTTAAGGATAACGAAAATTAGGTTGCCCCAGGGTATATGCAGGTGGCTGTGGCTGGTAGAATTCCCAGGGCCAAAGGATTACAACTGAGGTACAAGACCTCCAAATCATATGCCCCCAGGCTGGCCCCCTTGCTAGAAAGTATAAAAGTTTGGGTGTTTGAAATAAAATAGACAGGGGAGACCAACTCTCACCCGTAACTGCTATTGGAGGTGGTCCAATTTCCCAGGTGGGTAGGCCCAGAGATGTGAGGGATGCCCATGTGTCTGAGGTCTTTATGACACTTTTTAAAAATCGACTAGATTTCTGAACAGGGCCATAAGATCCTTGTAAATAACTCCTCCAAAATTTCCTGAGGACTCCAGGATTAAGAAATATTCCACCTTCTCTGAGTCTTCTCCTTTCTAGAATGTAAGCTCTATCCTGGCATTTTATCTCCGAGAGGGAAGTTTCTTAACCCTGGCTGCACGTAAGAATTATCTGTGGGCCACCAGCAAGACAAAGGTGCTTGGACCCCATTTTCTGATTCGCTAAGTCTAAATCTCGGACCACTGTGTGCTTCAAAATGGCGATTCTCTGCCTTGGTTGCATGTTAAAATAACCAGCCCCACTGTACCCCAATTCAATAAGAATCTCAGGGGGTGGGATGCTGGGAGCAGTATTTGGTAAAAGCTCCCTCCATCCTTCTGTTGAATTCACAGTCCAGACTGTGAACCACTATTTTACTGAAGTATTTCCAAGTGTAGATCTACCTTGTTATTTGGTTTGTGTATTCTGGGGTGGAATTCTCTGGTAAAGTCCAGGGCTTTCTAAGCCCCTGTGCTAAAGGGACATCCAGAAGCCGTGACTTATATCCCAGCCTGAGGGACACCAGGAAGATGTGGAACATCCTGGAATCACCTGAGGACATACATAGGTTGACAATGTCAAGTTAGTATATCCTACCCCACCCCCGCCACCCCCTGACCCTTGAACAAACCAGGAGGTGAAAAATCAAGATTTACAAAGCTCAGAGCAGGGACTTACAATTACTCACTTTACCAAAAGATGTTTGTCTTCACAAAGGAATTCAACATGGGCCTACTTTAAATATCAAGTCCCCTTAGAGCATTTTACAATTTATAAAGCTTTGATTTATACATGCCTTTTCAGTTACACATCTGTTGCATGAAATAAGGTCTACATGCACGGATGTGTGTGCACAGTTAGATATCAGGTTCGACACGTGTCGTCCCGGATGATTTAGTTGGCTGAGCAGATGCAATCAGGCTCACAGATAACATCATAAGACCCGTGCTAATATATTGTAAAACTGTGCAGGCAGATGTTCATTTCTGCAATGGAGGGGCTACATGGGGAACCAAACAACAGGTGGGATTTTACTACCACCAAGCAGAGATAGCAGTGAGGTCACAATGCATCCAGGGGCAGAAGTCCTTGCACTGTCTGTGCAAAAGTTGGGTGGAGGGAAGTTGAAGTCAAAGACCGCTGCCTTTCCACCCTCCGATACGTGTGGCTGAGCCCAGGGTCTATGACTGCCTCTCTGGGCTTCCTGATATTCTTTTACATACTGTGTTTTCCCGAAAATAAAACAGGGTCTTATATTTATTTTTCTTCAGGAAGACACCCTAGGGCTTATTTTCAGGGGATGTGTTATTTTTTTTTAAGTACAGTACAACAAACTACATTTATTCAAATAGAGTTTAGTCTTCTTCTTCTGGAACATCATCATAACTCTCCAAACCCCGAATTCCATCCTAAATTTCTTGCGACTCTATTTCCTTTAGAATCATTGGCCCCAAACTCTCATGTGGAGCAATAGAGCTCTCATGGGGCAGATGAGAAGGGCTGCTTGTTTTCTTTACCGCTCCGAGATGAAATGCGTAGGTTGTGCAGATGCGCTGCGTAGCCACACCCATCACTAGGTCTTATTTTCGGGGTAGGGCTTCTATTGCACAAATGCTTAGAAATCCTGCTGGGGCTTATTTTATGGGTAGGTCTTATTTTCTGGGAAACACGGTAGAAGCTACTGCTATAGGAAACCATGTGGGGAGTGTGAGCTTTGGAGTAGAGTCAGGGTTGTCTGTGAAACATCGAGTGCTAAGTTCTAGAAGTTAAAGAAAAATCAGGGGAAAGTACATTCAAAGCCATCCAGGATCATTATGAATAGACTTGGAGGAGGTTTATGACAGTGGTAGAAAAAGGCCTTACACGATTCTTGCTGACATTTTTGAAAGTTAAAATGCTTTCTTGGTAGATACAAACATAAAATTTAGGAAAAATGGTAATAATGGCCCAAGCGTGACCATAGTGTGACAGTCGGCCTTTGTTATTCAGTTTTGACATGATCTTGAGCGTCTTGTATGTGGGGACAGGAAGGTGGCTCCTCCAGGGCCCAGACTGAGCCATGGCCATCAGCTGGAGAAAGATCCTGGTTTCTCCTAAGGAACCCTCTTCCAACCGCCTTAGAGTCCCAGGAGAAGAGAGATGCAAGCTCTTAAATTACAAGCTGTCTATAAAAGGGCTCAGTTTTAGTTGAAGGGTTTCGTGCTCTGAGCAGGGACTTACCAGCCCTGTGTGTCTGTGGACTTCAGTAGAGCCACTGACCCTGACTTGACTTCTGTCTTTGTCTTTTTGTCCTGCCAGAGCCAGGTGGCCCGTCTTTCACCATCGGCAAAGCTATTTGGTTGCTCTGGGGTCTGGTGTTTAACAACTCCGTTCCTGTGCAGAACCCAAAGGGCACCACCTCCAAGATCATGGTGTCGGTGTGGGCCTTCTTTGCTGTCATCTTCCTGGCCAGCTACACTGCCAACTTAGCTGCCTTCATGATCCAAGAGGAATACGTGGACCAGGTTTCTGGCCTGAGCGACAAAAAGGTAAGAGGCCCGTGTGAAACCTCCCGTCTTTCTCTCCACCCTGTTCTTGAGCCATACTCGAAGTTCTCATGTACCTGATAATTTTCTAAATCTTTACGATCGGCAGTTCTTTCTCGCGTTCCTTTGTACTGGAACATGGGGAGCAGAAATCAGGTTCCCTGCTGGAATACTGTTATTTCATGGTGGCCTTCTGATTTGTGAAGAGTTGTCATAAGTATGCCCCGGGCTGCAAATAAGGGGGTTGGTATGTTAGCAGCGCTCGGAGTCCGTGGTGCCTCTTGTTGGATGCGGTGGGGTGGCTGGGCAGCACAGGGACGCCGGCGTGGGGTGTGATTAGAGGGCTGCCCCTGTGTACCCACACTGAGGGGACTGGTGCATTACGACCTCATTTTCTTCCTGGTGGCATTGGGCTGTGGGCTCCTCCTTTGTTCCTCTGCGTGCTCGTGTGTTCCTAGGGCTGAGCAGGAAGGCTGTTCGCACTGTGTCTTGAGGAGAAGTAACTGCTACTTAACTCGATTGCCCCGGTGTGGTGCTGATGAATAGGCTGCCCCCATACCAGCCGCAGCCCTCCCCACTGGCCCCTGCAGTGGAGAGAGGAAGGAAAGAGTCTTCCGGTCTCCTTTATTTCTGGACGAGGATGTACAAAACCCATTCTAAATACATCGGGCTCCCTGGGTCTGCCTGAAGCGCCACAATGTCCGTGGGAAATCCGTCTCCTGAAACTGTGTGACCGGGACGATCTTAGACTAGTGACGGGAACTGCCTTCATGGAGTGCCTGGTAAAGGCCATGGCCAAAATAATTTTGGAGACTTTTACTTACCACAAACTCTCTACTCTGTGTTTCTTCCTGAAGATTTAGAAAATGTGATTGTCTACCTCCCAGTGCCAGGATGAAGCCATGAAACATAGATAGATGTGTCTTTAAACTAAATTGTTAGCGCTTTACCACATGGGTTAGGTTTCCCCAAGATAAAACCCTAAAGACGTAAGCAAGTGGTTTGAGTAGACAGAAAAGGAAAAGCTAATCTCTTTAGGGGCTCAGGTTCTGACTTCTTCCTCTACCCAACACTACTCACCAAGAATATTAAAAAGCATGTGGGGAAGATAAACAGCTTCTTGAGGGAATGAGAAAAAAAAAAAATATATATATATATATATGGATCATTCATTGTTTACCTCCTGTTTGCTTTATTTTTCTTCCTTAGTTTGAAAAATATTCTCTCTCTGGTATTTCCCTCTTTCTTATTTTGAATCTTCTATTTACTTCTCTCATCTAACTCATGATTTATTGTTACATTTATTCACATATTCATCCATTTATGACTTAATCCATTTTTAAAGCCTTCTCTCTCTCATTGTTCCTTCATCAACATCTTTCATCAAGAGCTCAACTAAAAATTGAGTTGACACCTCCCTTTACCCTGGTACAATTACCACCACCACTTTTTTGTGGCTATTTCTGTTCGTCAGCCGTGGGTCTGAGAACAACTACTTGCTCAGGGCTCAGTGCTTAGAGGAGGCATAGGTCAGGTAGCCCCTGCCCATTGCTATTGTTTGGATAGTTGACCCCTCCAAACCTCATGTTGAAATTTGATCCCCGGTGTTGGAGGTGGGGCCTAAGGGAGGCATTTGGGTCACAGGGGTGGGTCTCTCATGAATGGATTAATGCCTTCCCTGGAGTGGAGGGGCTGAGTGAGTTCTTGTTCTGTTAGTTCCCACAGAAGTTCCCTGAGAGCTGGTTGTTAAAAAGAGCCCGGCCCCTTCCCCTCTGTCTTGCTTTCTCTCTCGCCATGAGATCTCTACACAAGCTGGTGCTCACCTGCCACTGTGAGCAGAAACAGCCTGAGGCCATCATAAGATGCTTAATCTTGAACTTTTCCAGACGTCAGAATCGTGAGCCAAATAAGCGTTTTTTTTCCCTTTATAAATCACCTAGTCTCAGGTATTCCTTTGTAGTGACACAAAATGGAGTGACACCACCCTAAAACATGGATATGGCAGAAGCTTGGTGGGCCACGCCCCACGTGTAGATTCGTCAGAGGTGTGGCAGACCATGTCCTCACGTGAGGCTGTGGCGGAGGTGCAGAGGATCAGGTCCCCGTGCATGGGTGTGGCGGGGCACGGCGGGAGCACGTCACTGTGCATCAGTGTGGTGGAGATGTGAGGGCCACGGCCCTTCTTGGGGTTCTGGGCTGTTAAGTGGGGGATCTGCCATATCTATCACAATGCTTTCTTCAAATGCCTCTGGAAATTCCTTGGAACGTTGTAGTTATCTTTCTCTTTCCCTCGTGAGCCACCCAGCAACAACTGAATGCTTTTCTGTTTGAACAAAGTGTAATTGGGAAGGAGGAATATCGTTTTTCCTTCTGTGGTTTTGAAAGATTTATCACCCTAGGCTGCTTAAAGCAAAGAGGATAAGCACTGTCTGTCCTTCATACCATGTGGGTTATGTTCTGAAGTTTTGGGTCCCATTACTTTTTTTTTTATAGAAAAAAAGACAGTTTTTTCTTCCCTAGTGTGGCTTTTAAGACCTTCAGAAATGATTCTCGGTGTGTCCCAGGCCTCCAGTCTCGTTGGCCGGTGCCTGGGTTCCTGCATCCCGCAGCCTAGGCACCCAGAGCTCCTCATCTTTCCCAGCCACGCCTCCATCTGTGCATCTGCCTGGGAGGTTTTCCTCCCCACTTCTTCACTCATCAAACTTGTGCTGAAACCCAGATCCGAGATCCTTTCATTTGCGGAGCTTTTTTGGCTCATCTGGGCAGTTAGCTGTTCTGTTCTCTACCTCGGCTGCTATTCGTACCTTTATTCTAACCTCATCTTCCGAGTCCTGTTGTAACAATCTATAGATCTGCGCCTGACTGCTTTTCCTTCCATCTGACCATGGGCTTCGCAAAGTCGATGACCATGAGTTGGTCATCATTGAGACAGAAAACAATAGTCTGTGGGGAGGGAAAAGAGAGGATGTCCTTACTTAGGAGGCTCTGGTGCAAACGGTGGACTCAGCATTATAGGCAAAGAAAGCAACAAGTTAGCAAGAACCCGTTAACAGCTGTGTGATTTGAAAATGGTTATCTGATACATTTCAGAACTTTGCAAATGACAAAACAGTAAAGTGTAAGCACCCTACCAGAAACTGTCAACATAATTTACATAATTATAGCAAACATTTAAGTAACTAATGACATATGACTGCCTATCAGTGTCAGGAATAGTTTTATAAATCAGAAGGAGAGCTTTTTGAAAGTGTACTTAGAATGTCAAAATTCTTATTAGTTTTCCTTCAAAACACCTAAAGAAATCAAAGTCTTGGGACTGAGATGGAAATGCACGAAAGGAAGTAGATTCTGTGAATTTATAAAAAAGAAAAAGAAAAGACATTAAAGCAATAATGTTGAGAATAGAAATGTGGTGATTTTGAAGATTCTTTTTCAATGCAATTAGATTTTCTTCAAGGAAAGTAACATTCAAAATGGGGAAGGTTCTAACCTTGTTTAGACTATCACGGATGAGTTATCTTTCACATAACTCAGATCAAATAATAAATATCTTGGAGTAATGGTGGAAAGATATTTGTAGCCATTAGATTTATAGCTTTTTAAAAAATTATCTTAAATTTTTTGGCAGAAAAATTATACTCAGATTTTCTTTATGTTAAGGCACAAAACCAGAATGTTCAGAGTTAAATTTCCATGAAAACCTATTTTTGTGCTCCTTTTTACTGGGTGATTTCCATTTCGCGGTAGCACCTTACAGTGAATTCGGAACCATTCCACTACATGCTGTACCTAAATATGGGTGTGAGCTCTAACATTTAGCAGCCCGACTGTACATTCCTTCAGCTCCCCCAGTGGGAGGAGGGTGGAAGGGAGCTAGTGGCATCTTTCTTCTCTTAACAAAGAGCCCACAATGCTAATTCTCACATTTCTCACCCATCCAGATGGAGTCTTCATTTTGCAGTCTGCCAACCATAGTATGAAGGAGAAAGAGGTGAAGGCCAGGTGCAGGAGGGGACATATTTGCTGGGCACTGGGTACATTATGTGTGCTCCATAGATGTTATTTGTATAACCTTCATACAGGTATGATTATTATTCTCATTTCACACATAAAAACACTGAGACTCTGGGAAACATGATAACTTCCCTAAAGTCACACATTATCAAGTGACAGAGCCAGGGTTTGAGTCCCTGTGTGTTAGGCTCTAAAATCACTGTGCCAGGATGTTTCCCTTGTAGCTAATCCCAGACAAAGTTATGACATAGCTGAGGATCAGCATTGATGCCGCTTTCCCTACTTTCCTATTTAATTCCCTACCCTCTCATGTAATCATTGTTTCGATTCCACTTAACCCAACCCTTCTTAGGGTACAGTGTACTGTTATTACTATTACTACTACTACTAATGATGATTATTGTTACTATTATTAACAATAATAATATTTCAGCTAGCATTTTTTCCAGCTCTTACAAGCCAGGCATGATGCCAAATACATTACATAGATGATCTTATGTCATGGTGCTATTAATATCATTATTTGTAGCGGAGGCAACTGAACCTGGAGAGGTTAAGTCATTTGCCCTTCTGATGGTCCTGGCTCCCTCTAGCCCCAGAACAGTTGCCACCCTGTTTAGACCCTGATGCCTTTCTCAGTTAATCACTTTTCTTCCTACTCTCCCATCTAGCTTATCAAAGTTTAACAAGTTAGGTCCTTTTCCTAACTTTAGCTATCGAATTAATAGAGCTATAATAATTAGATAGCAATCTAACCTTTGCCCTTTATTTAATAAGTCTTTTAGAGGCATTACTTTAAACAGAGAATAATGGTGATTTCCAGTCCTCGGGCACGTGAATGGCCCTCAGATTGACATTAGCCTGGGCATTCAGTGACCCTGAAGCCACTGTTGGATGGTGGAGAGTGGTGGCAGCAGGAGAGAAGGGTCAGTTATGGGGTCAGTGGGGTCTGGGGTCGGGTTGATGGAAGCCCACGGGGAGGCAGAGGC